GAATGCTTTCATGGTGTTTATCCAGGGCGTACCCATGATCACGTTGTATACCACGTGACGGTCGATGACGGAGAAAGCCACGATCTGAGTGACTTCCTTTGTTACTACCGGTAGTTTTATTGATCCGAGTGTCATTGATGTCTCACCGGAAACACTGGTAAGCAGCTTAGGAGTCGGCTAGATTTTGCTGAGTTCGATGCCCATCCGGGTCAAGGTGTCGCGGAAGATTATGTTGACCGTGCTTCGGGTATTGAAAAGTATTCGAGCGACCTCGACGTCCCTTATTACCAGATTAATATAGAGAGGATCGGCATGCATTTGGTCGATACCTACGGTTTCAGCTTCATCAAATTTTATCGCGGTGTTTCGATTTTCAGGAAGTGGTGTAGACAAGTTCGCGCTTGTCTCGGCTTTCTTCTGATAGGACTTGATGGATGAAATGTTGTTGCTGTAATATTGCGATCCTCCGATGATCATGTTGACCCTGCGGCGGTTATTGTTGTTTCCTCGTTCATCCTGCCCTCTTCCACGTTTTTCACCCGACTGATTTGCTCGAGGATAATTTTCTGCCTGCGGGTTTTTGTCAGTTCTCGGAGGGCGGTCTGTCTCGCGGATAAGGTCCTTGACATTCGAAATTTCGGAGATTTTTCCTGCTAGCAGTTTAGCAGCCAGCCTTGCTCCAAGAACTTTGTAGTTGATGGTGGAATGACCTCGGGTCTGGTGGAAGTCGCATAATGCATTCTCATCGTAATTTGAGTTTCTGCTCCATGTATTTCCCAACGTCCGACCCTGCTCTGATTCGGAGTTAATGGCATAGTTGTACACTTCCGGGAGATCTTTTCCTTTGTGATGGACATATTTGTCGTTAGAAGGACTTTTCTTTTTCGGTTTCTGATCGGGTGCAACATCTTTTGCGGAAGTCTTCGTTGACTTGTGGTGCTCCGATAGAATCCTGGTTTCTTCCTCGATGATGATATAATCAGTGGCCTTATGGAGCGCGTCCTGGATCGTCCGCGGTTTTTCGAGGGTTATCCACTTTCTGAATTTTGACTTAAACTAGAGAGATTTTCTGAGCGCAATGATGGCCATACTGTCACTTTTCCCGCTAACCCTTGCCATGATGAGTTCAATCTTCTCATGAACTCGCAGAGGGGTTCGTCCTCATGCTGGGATAGACTCTAGAGATTGGTGTCGGCACGATCCAAAGGAGTCGTGAAAACTCGCCATCTTCCACGAATCTTGGTAGTTCTGCGGGAACGGATAGTCTTGGTTCTCGCAGTTAAGGTTTTGACTTGTTTTGCGAGAGATCCAATCAGTTTTTCTTGCTCCTCCGGCTTCTTGTTGAAGGCGGTGTACATCTTTTCAAAGGCCTTGGTGTTAACGTTAGCATTGACCGTAGACACATTCGCTGGTGGATTTTTAGAAACGTTTTCACTGAAGTTTTCACCGTCACGAGTTTTGTGTTCTTCTGCATTGTATTTGATCGAGCATGCCGCGGCTTGAGAATTAGATAGATCTGCCCCCCTCATTCTAGCGCAAAACTGTGGGAACCAAAATTCGCACTGTCGATTTCCGGTGAATTAAGGAACTTAGAGAAACCTTAATTTCCCAGAGGTCTCGGATATCTGCTAAACCTCATGCCAAGCAATCAAAATACGAAAATAACAGGAAAGACAATATGAAAATTGAAATAGTGAGCAAAGAGATTTCTTATTCCGAATTTGCGTAAGAGGGGTACAACGAGGTGAAAGCCTTGGCTACAAGAGCTGACAGCGAGTTTCCTAGTTCTAGCAACCTAAGACTGAAACCCTTGATGAGACGCAACTCGATAACAAAAACGGAAAGTTGCCTATTTGTCCTAAGTGCTAAGTTTTTGGTGGTGAAGAGCTCTGAGTCTGAAAAATCCCCCCTTTCTCGTTAGCTCTACCATCTCCTTATATACTCCTTTCTTAGGCGGTTTTGGGTCTTCCTTTTTGCCTAGATTTGTATCTATCTCTTTTTTCGAAACCGTTCGTTTTTCTCGATCTTCATGTTTATCCTCGGAAAACTTCCATTTATCTCCAAACTTTACATTTATCCATTCTTCCAAATAAGGGACAAACCGTCATCATATCCTTGGGCTGGATTTCGTCTGAAATCGTAAGTGGTCTTTTATCGCGTTTTAGGACCTTTCGGACTGTTTTTGCGATTTTAGACGTTTTTACGTTTTTTATTGAAAATGTTTTGCGATACGATGCCTTTTTTTATTAAATAGCTTGACTTAATCGTAAAGTTAAGGCGACCTTTGGTGTTTCGTTAACTGTTGCCGTTTTATACGATTAACTCAAACTTATACAAAAAACAAGTCTTCCCGGTTCTTATCATAAAGTTCCAAAGATAGCTCCGATTGAGACAAAACGAGAAGAGATGCAAGCATGATTTGAAGTATGATTGAGAGAAGGATCGTTAGGGATTGTGTCCAGCACGCACACGCACGGACCGGACAGTGCTGTCCCACTCGCCCGGTAGCGAGCCGCACGTTGCGTCCAACTCGCCACCGAGCGAGCTGGAGATTGTTCCCAGCTCGCCCGGTGGCGCGTTGGACGTTGGGCGAGCTGGGCGCACTGTCCCACTCGCCCGATGGCTAGTTGGACGACCCCCGTTGATGAGTCGAGCGTTATGTTTTCTGATTGTTTGGAGTTCCTTTGTCAGAAGCTCTGAGAATCTTCCTTGATACGTGGTCTTGTTGCGAGATTTTGTATCTTCGGAAGATCACGTAGTAATCTTGATACTTTTGCGGAGACATTTGGTCTTTCATTCCGTCGTAACCGATTTTGACCCCAACAACAATTTAGGAGTAGACATGGAGAACTTTAAATGAGCTTCTCTCCCTCGTTCTATGCTTCATAAAATTCTCTCTAAAGTAGCAACAAATAGTATCCAAGAATTTGGTTTTGCGAGTTGCTTTTTCTGGGTTCAATGTAATTGGCAGAGAAAATTATTTTTACAGATATGCAAATATCATTTTTCATGAAGGATTGATAGACAATTTCAATGTTGTTAGAACATTCAGGCTTAGGTGCTATCATTTGAGTAATCCAGAAGTCATATTTTTACGAGGTATGTATGAGTTCTTCATTATCCATTTAGTTGATGAATGATGGAAAAAAACATTTAACTAGTGAGAAAGGATGTTTGTTGGCCAAATATGTAGATGGTATGATGAACTTAGAATTTAACGTTAATGATAGAGGATTCATTCACAACTATCCTGGTTTTACTTGTGAATGTTGATCGGATGTCTCACATGATCAATAGTTGGAAACTTTCAGGCCATTGGGATTACGATAAACCTGAGATATTTCTGTCTCTGGTGAAAAAAATAGATGCTAACGTCTTACATGCTCCAAAATTTAAGAACCAATGTTTGTAATCTCCATAAAGGGATCAAGAACAAAGTGGAATACGGTCATTGTTTCTGGCAAGATGCAACTTAAAACTTCTGTAATGAAATACATTTGACTGCTCGTGATTGGCCAATAGAGATTAGTTGTGTGGACATGTAATTTTCTTTACTTTTGCTAAATTTTTGTAGAATAATTTACATTATGTAATTTTCTAGTTTTTCTCTATTAATTGATCCTTTTTTTGTTATTTTATCTTCAATAAATATATCAATAACAATACATTTGTCCATAAAAATAACATAATAAATTTTTACTAAGTTATACAAAGTTTTACAGTTACAATAAGTCTTACTACGTTATCAGCTACATCAACTGTTACTAGGTTATACAAAGTTTAAAAGTTACACAAAGTTTATTATGTATACAATTCTGGGTTTAGAAGTTGTGGAAAAGGAGATCCGAATTTTATGGGATGGATCTGGATGGTATACAGAATTCTTTTGATAAGTTTGTAATAATATAAGTTCTTTTATTTCATGTTATTTTACTAAGTTTCCTCGTTTAACTAAAATTTTATTTAATTATTTTTTGGGAGCAGAGTATGACATAATTTGTTCTTTCAATTAAGAGCATTGGAGGATTTGTTTCGAATGTATGAAAGTTGAAGCTAAAGAATGCGGCTTGAAAGTTGAAAACCCCACCAAAGATCAAAACGTTCTTGTGGAGAGATATTAGTAATACAATATCAGCAGAAGAGCTTCTGGTGAAGAGAGGAATCAAGATGGATCCGTGCTGTCAAGCGTGTGGTTTTCAGGAGGAGTCCATTAACTATATCCTCTTCACTTTAACAATTGCGCGGCAGGTTTGGGATCACGCAAATGTGCCATATCCACAGAATGGTTTTGATCAAAACTCTCACTATTCCAACATTCACTATCTGCTGACCTTGGATTCGAACAAGTTGATTGTGAAAGCAGTGGTCAATGTTGTATCTTGGTTGGTTTGGTTCTTATGGAAGAACAAGAACAATCTTTTGTTCGAAGGAAAACAAATCGATTTGATAGAGCTTGTTGGGAAAACTTTTTCAGAATTGGAGATATGGGCTTTAGCACAAAGTAATGATAAGAATGGTTATCACATATTAAAAAAAAATGATTATATCCCTTCTCTCGTTCCTTTCTGGTAAGAATGATTATCACATATTAAGAAAAAGAGGAATGATTATCACATGCTTTGTAAATCGCTTCCCGGTTTTATCCGGTTCAGTCGTTCCATCTTATCTCGTAATCACCAAAAAATTGTCATCTCTCCCCTCCCCTCCCACTCACCTCAAAATCTTTGTCTTTTAACTCTGTGTCACTCATGGCGGCTACTCTTCTTCTTCCTCCCCTTCAAACCTCCACAACCTCTCTCCCTAAACCTTATCTGTCCAACTCCCTCTCTTTCCCTCTCCAGAACTAGAAATTTTTTTGACTAGGTCATCATATATATAACAAAAAAAACCAATTTATTTTACAAATTAATGGGACAGATGAAAACTCAAACATAAATTAGTGGGGTCAAATACCAAATTTAACAAAAAATTATAATAATTTCAAAAAGAAATATATACAGAAAATTTTTTTTCCCCAATTTTAACTACTACTACTGTGCCTCCCCCCTGCTCTCAACAACAAAGCGCCGGAACTTTCTTCCCCGCGAGATCGTATCTCAGTCGTATAAAGTGGTGGTGGAGCAGGACGGAAAGACAACGGAGTTGGAGGTCGAACCGGACGAGACAATTTTGGCTAAGGAGCTTGAGTCAGGAATTGACGTGCCGTACGACTGCAACCTTGGTGTTTGTATGACCTGCCCGGCGAAGCTCGTGACTGGAACAGTGGCTACGCGCTTCTATGCCCGTCATATCCAACTTCGGATTGTCACATTAAGATGATCCCTGAGGAAGAGCTCTTGTCTCTCCAGCTCGCAACTGCTAACGACTGATGGATGCAAGTTGTGGTTTTTGCTCTTATACAATGTCCTCTTGTAATGAATCTTGGTTTTGAGACTTGCAGTGTTACTTGAAATCTTGATTTTCACATCTGAACTCTTACAGAAGTATCTGCTTTGAGATTAATCTAATCAAAATACTATATATATATTTATAATTTATTTGAGAAATGAGTTTTCTTTGATGGTATGTTGATTTTACAACGATTATTTACATAGATACCCTTAATGAATTTAAGTATTATATATAATTGTCATTATTAAAAAATTATTTAATAAATTATGTCGACTACCTTTTTATATTTTTATCTAAATAATATATATAATAAAAGAGATATTCATATAAGAAAAAACGAAAATTATATTTACAAAAAAGGAAAAGAAAAGATATTTTATGAAAACATATTTTTATATAATGTGATTTCATAAAAAAGAAAGTTCATAAAAATCGTTTTGAAGTTAAAAAATAATAATCATCTCATTAAAACATAGTATTAAACATCATAATATATATTTTAAAATCGAGGTACATAATTTTATTTATATGAGTCCATTTTCTTATCAATCTATTTTCTTGGATGATTAGAAAAATTAATTTAATTAGAATATGCTCAATACCTTAACCAAAAAATATTTTATAATTGCTACTATTGAGTTGTTAATTAATTTTTACATTATTTTCTATATTTTTAGTTTGCCACATTCATTAATCAAACTACATAAATATAAAGTATACAAACTTTAATCAACGTAATATACCACTAAAAAAGTTTGTAGGCTTAATATTTGTATTTTTATATATTTATAAAACATAATATACCTATAAGAAGAATGCATAAACCAATATAAAAATTTAGTGTAAGTACTGTACCTTATTGGTTAAGGTTTAAAGGATACTACATCCATGTCTAGAGTCCCAATGCAGACAACATAATTTTTTGCAGATTATATGATGCAAGCTTATCGGAGGTTTAAGAGTATTTTCTAGGCAGAGCCATTCGTTATGGTCATCTGCTGCAGAGTAAGTATATCCATCGCGAGTGTCGATCCTAGTGTTCCGGGGAGAGCTTCATCGTGGAATCATCCGTAGAATTGTTCATCAAGATCGCATAGGTTGCAGGTACTTTTTTTTTTTTTTTGACAACGAAAGGTTGATCTATTATTCAAGCTTGAGGTGGTCTAGGAATCCAGACCGGAATAGAACAACCAACATACATTAGTTCACGATAGAAGTATCTAGCAGTCTTAGCTAAACAATCGGACACAACGTTTTGGGACCTAGGCACATAAAATAACTTGAAATATGGGAAGCAGAGCCGCAGCGTCAAGAGCCTCTCCAGTTCCGTCAAAAAGCTTGGCCATCCATGGCGGTTTGTGAGCATCGCTATCAATTCCTTGCAATCCGTCCCAAAACTCTGACATGGTGAATGTTGAAGCATATTCTCCATTGCCCACCGCAGTGTTTTCAGCTCAGAATGCAAAGCCGACTCCACCCTACTAACATTACGCATGCCCATGAACTGACTATTTCCCATTCTATCCTTCCAATCCCAACCACAGCTTGAGAATTGGTCTGTAGAGGTCCAGGAACCGTTTACCATACTGATATCTCCAAGGCTTATGACCAGCATCTATGTTTCCTTGTGTTGGTACAATTTCCTGCTCATTGGCTTGGAACCAGGCAAGACACTCACTCTCCGCATACCGGGCTAACTCCATAGGATTCCTCGGAACAACTTGTCATTCCTAGCATTCCAAATGTACCATATTAGCCAAGGATAAGGGTCCTTGTCTAATTCTAGCTCCATTATGTTCTTCTTCCTCCAGAATAGATAATCCATGTTCGCATATTTTCTCTGCAGTGGGAATAAAGTTGAGCTGGTAGGTATAGATGCTAAAGCCCACACCTGTAATGCAGGTGGGCATAGAAAGATTGCATGTGCAATTGTTTCTTCCGGTTCTCCGCATCGTGGACAAAAATTGTCACATGTCATGTTTCTATGGTTCAAGGCACTCGTAACAGCCACATGACCCGTTATAATCTGCCACATAAGATGACACATCTTCGAGAGCGCTTTGACCTTCCAGACATGTGCTTGAAGTCTTGTAATACTAGGTTCACCCACTATATTATCATCCTCCTTCATCAATATATTTCGAGCTACCCAATAGCCAGACTTGACTGTGTACTGCCCACTCCTTGTGTAACTCCAGCAGTGCGTGTCTCTACGATGAGTTGAACTGATAGCCATACTCCTTATGAGATGTATGTCAGCAGCATCAACATAATTCCCCAACCAATCCAAATCCCAAGACTTTGTTTCTTGATTAATAAGATCACTCACTCGCATGTTAGGATGCAGAACCGGAGCAGATGAAGTCGCTGGCCTCGCTGGGATTATGGGAATCCAAGGGTCCTCCCATACTTTCACTTCATAGCCTGAATGTATCTTCTGTCTAACCCCCAGAAACAATAATTCTCGTGCAGCCGAGATGCTTGTCCACACATACGATGGGCTACTGACAGGGAGCTTCCTCAAGGGTGAACTCAAACGATAGTAACGACCTCTCATAACGCTAGCTACCAGGGAATCTGGGTATTGAGCCAATCTCCACAACTCTTTGGATAAACATAACTTGTCCCATGTTGACCAGTGTAAACCCCTTTTTGGTGGGTTCGAGCTCCACCAAAACTGTGCAATGGCACTAGCCAAGGCATCACATATCTCCAATGGGAGAAGAAAACAAGACATTACATAAATTGGGAGAGCTAGCAGGATTGACTTTATCATTACTTCCTTTCCACCTTTTGATAGCCACATGCCCGTCCAGCCATTTACTCTATTTCTAAGCTTGTCCTTTAGGAAGAAAAAGAGCTTGCATTTAGAACCACTGATATCTTCTGGAATCCCTAAGTAAGTTCCCATCCCTGCTTCATTTTTGATTCCAAGTGTATCTTTAATTTTTTGCCTGACGTCTTGTCTGATTCTTTTACCAAAGAGTAGAGATGACTTGTCAAAATTAATGCATTGTCCAGAAGCTTGTCCATATTTCTTGACCATTTTCATTACTTCTTCACATCCACGGGGCTCCGCCTTACAAAAGAAAAGGCTATCATCAGCAAAGAGTAGGTGAGATACCGATGGACACGCACGCATGATACGCATCCCTGTTATATTTCCCTGATTCTTTTCATGATTAAGTAGGCTAACGAGCGCTTCCGTGCATAGAATAAAAATGAAAGGGGACAGAGGATCCCCCTGCCGTAGACCTCTCTCCGGGACAATATTCCCTCTTGGCTGTCCATTCATAAGTACCTTGTACTTAACCGATGTTACGCTTCGCATTATCCAGGTTATTCAGATTTCTGAAAAACCCATCTTCCGCATAGTAGCCTCAGTGAAGGACCACTCCATTCTATCATACGCCTTGCTCATGTCCGTTTTAATGGCCATCCTCTTAATATATCCACTGTGTTTGGTTCTTAGAGCATGGAACATCTCTTGAGCAATCAAAATGTTATCAGAGATCTGCCTCGTCGTAACAAAGGCTGGCTGGATTTCTGAGATTCTATCTGGAAGAACTTTCTTTAGCCTTTGGCATAAGAACTTAGAGATTATCTTATAGCTAACATTACATATGCTGATAGGGCGTAGCTGACTCATCTGATTTGGCTTATCAACTTTCGAAATGAGACATATATTGGTTTCATTCAAACCAGTGGGTATCGTACCTTGAAGCAGGAATTTATTAACCATAAGAGTTAAATCTTCTTTTACAATATCCCAAAATTTCTGGTAAAAAAACGCAGTCATTCCATTTGGCCCTTGAGCTTTCTCTGGATGCATCGCAAAAAGCGCCACCTTGATCTCCCATTCAGTAACTGGTGCTGTAAGATTTTCATTGTCTACTGGTGTAATGGTTGTAGAGACCTCAGACAGTGCTTCCTCTATTTCCTTGGGATTGATGATTGGAAAATATTTCTAAAGTAATTTGTAGCAATGGCTACAAGTCCCTCCTCATCCTGTACCACATTCCATCTTCATCCAAAAGCTGTGTAATCATATTCCTTGCCCTTCTCTACTTTGTAAGAGCGTGAAAAAATTTTGTATTCCTGTCTCCTTCTAGTAGCGAAAAAATCCTACACTTCTGCTTCCAAAACATCTCCTCTGCCTTAAGAGCATCAGATAATTCTTTTAATGCCGCTGCAATCTCCTCAGTAGTGGCATCGTCGTTTGAAGATAACTGATGTACTTTTTCCTTTAACTCTTCCACACTTCTTTCAGAGTTTAGATTGTGTTGTCTCTTCCAGTAACACAAAGCTCGTCTGCAACTTGCAATATGCTCCATTATACTAGCTTCTGGTGGAGATCCGGTGATTTCCATCCTTTCAGGATTACTTGCCTGAGCTCCTCATTTTCGAGCCACCGTTTATAAAATTTAAAATTTCTCGATCTCCGTGGCCGCTTTTTAAGAATATCAGCTAAGATCGGACGATGATCCGTTCCCCACATCCTCATATATTGTACCTTCGAGTGAGGGAATTTTTCATGCCAGTCCTCATTGGCGACAGCTCTGTCCAGACGGCATCTAACGGTAACTCTCCCTGCTCTTTTTCCAGCCCATGATAGCATGTTCCCTGTAAAGGGGGAATTCCAGCATCCCACAATCACTCAGCATTTGCCTGAAAGGCAAAAATGAGCTGTCTGATCGTTCTCTACCTCCTTCTTTCTCTTTGTGGCATGTAATCTCATTAAAGTTACCAATCATGAACCATGGTCCATTTCTTGTTGTTGAGAACCGCGTAAGACGTTCCCAAACTAATTCCCTACGTTCTAATACATGATCTTCATAAACGAACATCATATAAACTTTTATTCCATCAATGATTGCCTCAATGTAAATCATTCTATTATTTGAAAATAAAATCTTAACTTGAAAATC